ATATAGATATGAACAGCGCTTTCGATAATAATCAGAAAGCATGAACACATTGCTCAGATCGATGAGATACATTTAAGTTTAATTAGGTTAAAAACGTCAATCATTGATTAAATTAAAATAAAATAAACATGCGATTGTGTTTAATATTATATAAGTGCAGCTTTCGAGAGTTAAATAATTTTTATCGTTTATTAATCGCATATCGTATTAAACGAAGTAGTTCAATTGTTGAAAATTTCAATGACCATCAGTAATAATGATACTTTATAAATTATAGGCGATTGTTTATGAAATGAACCGAATTGGAATGCTGGTTGATTTAGCTCACACCTCTCATAACGTTATGCGGGAAGTACTCGCAATAACAAAAGCTCCCGTCATGTTCTCGCATTCGTCCGCTTTTAGCATATGCAACCACTACAGGAACGTTCCCGATGATGTTCTGCAGTTAGTCGTAAGTGCCTTCGATGTTCTGCACAAATTTTTTCGCTCGGAAGAGAGAGAGAAGAGAGAACCGCGAAAATAAAAAGTTTTTTATCTGAGAGAACCGGGTAAATTACACAAAAGCACATTCTTTCTTTCAGAAAAAGAATAATGGTATTGTTATGGTGAACTTCTACAACAACTTCGTGAACTGCAATTCTTCGAGGAACGCGACGATAGAGGATGTCATAAGTACTATCTTTAGTTATACAGCAGTATTATGAATTACTTTAGATAGGTAGTATACAAATCTAAAATCAGGACGTAAGCTTTAAAGGCATCTTATGTTTCAATTTGGATATGTGTGTTGGGATACAATAAAATTAAAAAGATAAAAATTAATCTCATAAATTTTCCCTTATAATGATTTTATGAAATAATATATAAATAATATATTCTTTTATGTTATTGCAATACTTAAATTTATATTATTTCGTTGATCAATCAGTTCTACTACATGTGATTGCACTCTAAATTTCTTGTAGTAAAATCTTATTCCAAGAGAGTGAAAATATTCTTGAAAAAAAGTAAAAATATTTCACTTCTTGAAAAAAGAATGACAATTTAGAGTGAATTTTCACTTCAAAGAAAAATAAAATTTCACTCCTTTGAAGTGAAAATTTATTCTAAGAAGAGTGAAAATTGTCATTCTTGTTTAAGTGAAGAATGGTTGTATTTTCACTTTTTAAGAGTGAAATTTTACTATAAGAAATTTAGATTGTAACTAACACGTTTTAATCTTTTATATGATATCAATTTTGATTAATTACATATTGATATATTTTCAGAACATATAAATCACATTCGAAATCTTATCGGACCAGACCATGTCGGTATCGGCGCAGATTATGATGGTGTGCCCTTGTAAGTAATTACATTGACTTTGTAACAACGTAATTGTTACATGACAAGACATAAATAAATGCTAACGAAAT